ATAGATCCAAGAACAGAAAATAGGACATCTTTATCAAAACGTTGGATGTACTTCAATATAGTGGTGTCCACTGGAAAGCTTCTAAAACGTCTGTTGGTAGAAGAAACATTTCCTAACTTGGTCCGGTTTGAACGTACACCATATGAAGTACCTGATGTGGAGCCATAATCAGGTTCTGGAGAAAGGTCTCTTTGCAACGTCGCTATCTTTCTATTAAGTTCTGACTTTACATTGGGAGAAGGGTGATGGTGAGTCACCGTTTCTTCACCCTTCTCTTGTTTTACACCACAGATTTCACTCGGAGAGGCTCTTCCCTTTTCTTTTACTTTTTCTAAACTCTTCTCTGGGTTTACTTGTTGTGTTTTATTTTGAGAGAATTTTTGTTTTCCTAAACTTGTTTCTTTGTTCACCCTACACATTTCACTTCGATAATCTTTTTCCCTTTCTTTCCAGTATTGCATAAATCCTAAAATGCAATTTGATGGTCCAAGCAGATGTACACGGCCTTCACATTCTGTTACCATAATTTTTGTAGTCTTTGCGCAGTGGGATATTTCTTCAAAAATATTCTCTCTGTCTTCCAGTATATATTCCATTAGATGGATATCCGCAGTCCGCAGACTGTTTTCATATTTTCCAAGCAACGATGATAAATAAGTCATAGCTTTTTCTAAGTCCTTTGAAGAATTTGAGTCCGTAACGCTTAATATAACATTGCTAAATTCTTCACAATCCTGTATTTCCATTTTAACAGGTCCATTCCTATGAAGGAGCTCAAAGACATCTTTTTCAAAACATTGTACATACTTTAATGTACTGGTGTCCACTGGAAAACTCCTAGAGAGTTTTCTGGGAGAAGAAACACAAGAAATAGCTGAGCTGGAGCCATAATCCGTTTGTGGATTATGGTCACTGTGAGATTTCTCGGTCTGGCTGGTAAATCTGTGTAATTCTGGCTGTACATCAGGAGTAGAAGGGTAATATTGGATCACTTTTTCTACTCTGCTATTTTGTTTTTCCCCACGCATTTTACTTTCAGAGAGTTCTTTTATTTTTTTGCAGTGACGTGTAAGCTCTAAGATGGCATGTGATGGCCCAATCAGACGTATATGGTCTTCATCGTTTTCTGCCAAAATTTCTTTTGTCTTTGTCAAATGTGATATTTTTTCAATAATTTTATTTCTCAGTTGAGATGAATATTCAGAAAGATAAATGTTTGCAGTATCAAGACTTTTTCGATATTCTTCCATTAGACATAATAAAAAGTTGATGCTTGTTTCTAGATATCGTAAATATTTTGAGTCAGTAATACTAAATATAACTTTGCAGATTTCTGAGCACTTTTCTATTTCCAACTTTATGGGCCCATCAGCAGGAAAGCTTTCAAAGAATTTTCCAAAACACATAATGTACTTCAGCAGAGTGGTGTCCACTGAAACAAGTTTGGAATATATTTTGGGAGCAGAAACATTTCCAATTGTCAGACTGGAAGATATGCCAACGGGAGTAGTTGCTGTGGAGTCATTATCAGTTTCAAGAAAAAAGTCACCCTTAGATTTCCCACTGGTAAATTTGGGCAATTTTGAGTTGACATCGATTAATGACCTTGAGTCATCAGTAATTTTTGACGTGGGGTCACTGGGTACGTTTTTTGACAGGGCATTGCATGTTCCTGAGTTTGAGTCACTTGTCAGATGTGAGGAGGAGTTTTTGGAAGGTTTATATGATAAGGAATAATCGGGTCTTCTGTCATGATCGCTAGTTGATAAAGAGCTTCTTTCATCAAGCTGGCTATTGGAATGGCTACTATCTTTTTGAGGTGAATATCGTTCACTGGTCGATGAAGACACAGCAAGTTTGCGGCTGGAAAATGACTCTGACACACTATCCTGAATCATCTTTGTTTTGAAAACGGCATTTACCGTACCGGCGCTATTACCAGCACCAGCTGGTCCCCGCTCGCTTGTTCCAGAGATCACACTGTCTCCAGTCTTGTCCTTCACACGTGATGTCCGCTCAGTAATGGGTGTGTCACTAATGGAGGGTTTACTGAGATTCAATGCATTATAAAGGTCTGTCCTGAATCTTCTCAGCTCCTGAAAGTCCCCTTCGATGTCAATCCTGCATTGTGACTTTTTGGTTAGTTCAAATTTATATTTCCTCAGTAGTTCCACTACCGCCTTCCTGTTCCTGAAATATTTAAAGTCCAGTGTTGTTCTTATAGGCATGGAAAACTGAAAAACAAAGAGGTTTTTTTAAATGGACAGAAATTATAAACATATTATCATTTCTTTTCAGTATTAAATAAAATATACAATGTTTTTAGAATACTCTCATGAACATATATGTTTTCATATATGCCTAAGGAGCATGTGTTAGAAGAATATGAGTTTTCCTTCTTCAATTTATCATTCATGAGACAAAACACAAACATGACACAACTCCAGAAACATCATCTGCCAGGAGCTGAAGACAGAGACATCGTAACTATTGGCCCACTGTGGTTAATAATGGTTGGAATACCCCATTCCCTAGTAATTGTCAGGAAAGGTTCTCTAACTTGCTCTGGTGGGATTTGAACCCCTGTTTCCCACTTCTGTATACTGGAGTGATCCCAGAGGGTTGTCTGTTTGATTCCGACCCACCTGATATGTTATCAGATGTTTTTGTAGAATACCTGTGGGTAACACAGGTATAACCTTTCTGATCTGACTGCTCCCAGCAAACAAGAGCCAATCAGATATAGGCCCAGTCAGAGAGCGTACACTGACAGTAACGGGGAAATCCAGAGCCGGGTCTCCTGTGATGCAGAAAGGATTTTCAAAAAAACATGTATAGCACTTATTTTACAAGGAAGGGACAGCAATACATTAAAACTGATCACCATTGATGGTAGATCACAAAATTAAATAAACAGGAGAAAAATTGAAATATAAAGTTAAGCCAAGATATTATAGCTGGCATTGACTATAAATGTTAAATATATGCAAAAAAGAGCAAAAATATAATGTATATCGAGTAGGCCAGTTTATCACCAGTGGTGTCTTTTATTAGGTAATAAGGTGTATAATATTTTTTGTTTGTATTTTGTGTATAATAGTAGCAAATATTTACAAACACTATCAGCTATATTATCTCAGTGCAATTTAATATTGCGATTCTCTCCTGTTTACTCCTGTGATGCAGGCTTATGCAGACCCACAGAGCCCAAATGCCGATCCTGATGCTCACTCTTGTTCTGGACTGGCTAATGACGCCCAAGTGACGTT